CAGGGAAATACTTGATCAGACTGGAATTGTTCTGCTGCTTAAATACCTGCTGGCTTGCACTCATTCCAGCTGTTTTCTTGGCTCTGCTTGGTTCAGCTTGGGGTATTAATTGGATTTACACCAAATCAGGTGTGTGAATAGTAAATAGTAAAAATACCAAGACAATGTGTTATAGTTACGGGTACTCTTAGGATGGAGCAGAAAATACAGAGGAAACTTTGTGGGACAGGCACAATTAAATACCAAAGCTCGGCTTCTGATGCAGCCAGTGGAGCTGATTTCTCTGTGCAGGCTGGTGCCGTTGGGGCAGCAGCCTTGCTGGTAAAAGAATAAAATTTCAAGTAAGCAAAACTAATTAAATAGTGCACAGTGGAAGCCGTCCTTAACAGTACAAAAAGGAGGGAGGAGGGAGACGAGGCCAAGGGTAGTTCAGCGACTGAGTTGCTTAAGGTTGGCCAAACATTGGAACAGGAAGCCAGAGCGGAAGTGGCATCTCTGTCCTTGGAGCTATGTGAAACTTGCCTGAGGAGAGCCTTGAGCAACTGATCAGGTCAGACCTGCTTGGAGCCGGAGTTTAGGCTAGAGACCTCCAGAGGTCCTTTCCGAACCTAAAATATCATCTGATTTTTTTGAAATTGGTCAACAACTGCTTTGTCCGTTCAGTGTTGGATTTATGTGACATCGGGCAGGTCATGTAGCTTCTCTGCCTGTGTTCTTATCAGCTTAATAGCATTAACTATCCCGCTCTGCAGGCACTCTGAAGATGAAGTGTGCTAAATAACGCAAGATGCATATACAACTGTAATGGTGTTCGCTACGAATTGTATGTGGGGCATGTCCTGCATGAGAATTGCATAAAGATCTGGGTTTTGAGAGGAGCAATATTAAAAGGCAAAGGAGGAACTGCCTGTTACACTGCAGAGCTCAGGAGACTGAAACAACTGGGGACCCTTCGGAAAGTAAGATCCAGCTTAAGGAGTAGTAGAGACACAAGTTTCTGGGTAAAATTAAATGTGGCCATGTAGTGGGAGAAACACCAAGTTTTTCTCCAGTTCCCTTCCTGCTAGGGGTGGCAAGCATGGAGTTTGACTTTGTAGCCAGAAGATGCTTGATGCTGTAGCAAATGGAAAGATTTCTGTTTGCTCTTAACCTAGAGGATGTTTGTGGCTTTTACTCTGGGTAATAAGGCTGAGTGTTGATGCCTGAAAAGGAAGGAGCTAGCATTAGGATGCATTCCTTGGTTTCTTCCCAAGAGATCGCTGTGTGTCGCCAAGGCAACCGGCCAAAAACAAGGGTTCTGTTTTGTAGATATGTTGGGATTTTCAGAAACTTGATTTTGGCCTGAGTTGGGCAGAAGCAGACATTTCCTGTGAGCTGGAAGCTGCAGTTCTTTGGTAAAACTAATGTCCTTTTCTCTTTCGGGGATATCGGAATCAAACCTGTTGCTGGCTTCAGTGAGCACCTACCCGCGTCTTTTGGGGTGATTCTCTCCAGGCAGACCTGCTGGATGAGCTCACCTCCTGCTGAGCATCCTCCTTTCCAAACCTTGCCCTGGATTTGCTGAAAGGTCTTTAAGTATGATCCAGGCTCAAGGAAGTGTTGTTCAGTGAAACTTCGATGACTTGGAAAACTTTATCTGCTTGCTGATGCCAGCAAGAATCTGGGTGAGATAAGTAGCAGGTCTAGCGCAGCCTGGAAATGCCACATTCCTGCAGATTGGGGGATGTCTGTGCTTACAGTTAGGGCCAATGATTTATTAGGAGGGAGAGAGGCAGTCGTGGCAGTTAGACCGATTGTTCTGTGAGATCCAAACTGTGTTTTTCTTCAAATGTGGAAATTTGGCCTCCCTTTTCTGTCCCCTTGTCTGGCCACTGATTGCCTGACTATGGTAGATATGCCAGCAAAATGGAGCCAACTTGGGCCACGTCCTCCGGTCCACATCCTCCATGGCTTTTTGGAGCGACAGAGTGGCTGGGACGGGGTGGGATTGGGTTCTAGCATGGCTCTGGTTGGTGTGGAGGGAGCTCCAGCCCCTGCTCTTGGCTGGGCAGCTGCTGACAGCGGCTGCAGGACTTGTGACTTTGCTGTGGCCTGAGGGACGCTGCTGGTGTTCAAGGCCTTGCAGGATAAATAGCTTTATTGCTCCCTCCAGACACTTCAAATATGCGAAGCAGCTGTTTGCTTTGGGGTTGGAGCTGGATCTTGAGCTGATGAGAGAGAAATGCTGTTCCTGTGTCAGAAAAAAAAAATGGGTTCCCAGCTCTCTTGTGCAAGTGGAGCTGCTGCGGTGGGACAACTGTTGTTCATCTAGGGCTGTGAAGGTGAACATGGGGTTGCGTATGATGGGACGTGATCGAGATCTGCAGGTGGAGGGCAGAGCCCCAGCCGTGCTCGTCCCAGGGACCGGGCTGCCAGTGTGAGCATGGGGTTGGAGCTCTTGCTACAGGTGTTAAGATGCCCTTCAGGACTCTTCAAGTACTCCATGGCTGTTTTGAGACCTCTCCAGACGGTATCACAGTTCAGGTAAACTAGTTGGGGGGTGACTTCAGTTTGAAAACTAAGTGAACATTTGCAGCTTCGCAGGGATGCACTGGGTTTCCAGCGGAGCGCTGGGTGGCTGCTGGAAGAGGCTGGCTGAGCTGTCAGCTCTGACAATGGAGACAGGATGCGTGCGCAGGACTGGAAGGAGACCTGCTGACCTTTATTCTAAACGGGGAGCAGGGGAGAGGACGCCGAAGTGCTGTTGGTGACTTCTGTTCAGTGCTCATCCTCGTACTCTGTTATTGCAGAAGTAGAGACACTTCAGCTTGGTAGTGGCCCCAGGAGGAAGGGAAGGCTTTGCTGCAGGATGCGGATCTTTGGGATCTTGGAGGATAAAATCTAGCTCAGCTGAGCTGACAAGAAGGAATCTTTGTTTGGTTACCTGCCAGAATAATGTACAATTAAAGTTGTCAGCAAGATAGCAATCCAGGTTTCTGTAAAACATGTGACTGGCATGTTGGAGCCAGTGGTTGGAAAGGACTGCAAACTGACGAGCCGGCTGGGGTCCTGAGCAGCAGTCACCTGTCTTTAGGCTTCACGTTCTTATCTTGTTGGAGGCTGGACTCTGCCGTCAAGGTCCTGTGTGCACAGAATTTGCCCCGGCTGTGTTCCTTCCTTATGTTTTGTCGCTCCCGCAGTTCATCCCAAGTCACAGCATGTTTGTTCTCTCCAGCACCTGGTACCTCTTGGGGATCCTGCAGGAAAGGTGACTTTTGGCCAGGCCACCCAAAGTCCTGTAAATAACAGGACTTGAGAGCCAACACACATCAGATTGTTGATGGTTTTAATGTTTTTTGCTTGTCACAGTTGGCAGTTTGCCGAGTGCTGGAAGGTGAGCTGCTGCCTTGTGTGAACAGGGCTTACAAGAGCAAGGTTGGTGGGATCCAAACGGTTGGAGTCTAATGCCTTCCTGCTTCTTTGCAAAATTGTCTTCAAAGATGTTCAGCTTCAGCTGAACTTCAAAAAGTTCCAGTTTACGTGGACTTTTGCATGGTCCATTTTCTGATGTTTTGAGCTGCATAACACCTGAATATGGCTTCCAAATGCCCACTTAAATGTCTGTTAAAAAGTTATTCTCAATGTCCCTCAGCTTTTCATGGGCAGGAGAAGGCAGCAGTTTTGTTGGTCTAACCTG